GGGAGGCAAGCATGCCTGCTGAGACCCAGGGATACGCTCTGGCTGTCATGCGTGCCACCAGCCCTAGGACAAGTGGGGTGTGAGAGAGCAGAGGGGCCCATGCAGGCACCCTGCTCCATCCACTGCAGTCGTTTCTTCTCCTGTTCACCCCACAGAGCCCCTAAGCGGCTGCCACCCACCCCCTGCAGGGTCTGAAGCCAGCACAGCCCCCCCGCCACACTCACCTGTGGTCAGGGGAGAGGCCCATGCCGATGATGTGCCCATGGATGTCAATGACGTGATCCAGTGAGTCAAAGAACTCATCCGAGCGCCTTTCCTCCCCAAGCACCGGCCCGGCAGTCGTCATCTGATGGGGCAGGATCCTTTTAATCCCTTGGGGACAGAAAGCAGAATCAGGCAGTTCTGCAGGCTGCTGCCAGCAGACAGCGGGGCTGGTGGAAGCCCTCTGGCTTCAGGAAAGGGCTTCCCTTACTGCTGCTAAGAAAGGACAACTGGCTGCTTGGCTGAGGACCGGGACAGGGCTGCTGTCCCTGCCAGGCTCCTTCAGGCTCTCGCAAATGGTGTTTTTGGCCAGGACGCTACCCATAAGCGACATGCTGGCACATTCAACCCCAGCCAGGGAGATTCCCAGCACCCGGCTGGTGCAGCCACACCTCGCTCCAGCCCAGCCCGCTGTGAAGCACAAGGAAGCTGCACTGGCCTGGGAGACACTATGGTTGCAGAAAGGTTTTTCTCCTAAACGAATCCCTGGGCTGGGCCCATTTCCTGCAATATCCAGCCCGGAGAAGGCCTGGCAGACGCCCTGGCTGTGGCAGGGCCTTCCCCCACCACAGTCAGGCATAGGTGGGGGTCAGCCCCAGAAAGCTCGAAGAGCAGGGGTTTAAACCCAGACTGGGCTCAAGTGCTTTACAGCCTTTGAACCTCCTGACCAAGGGAGACACATGCTATGGGCCAAGCCCTCTCCCCTTCCAGCTCTAGACAGGTCTCAAACACAAGGTATCAACAACAGCTTCCTGGAGGACTCCTATGAGTCTCAGCAGCTGTTGGGCACTCAGGGCTTAATTCTCAGTGGGTCCAAGAGAAGCTGGAAGATGGCTCCCACCCCATCGCCCCTCTGAGGGAATCGCTGCTGAACACCCTTGATTTTAGCCCTCTCCCACAGACCAACAAGGTAGGGGTGACACCACACTGCACCTCAGGTCCGAGGCTCTTCACATCACTGCACCTGAACCTGGGCAGCTCAGGACCTTCAGGACAGGACCTTCACTCTTCCACCCAACTGACATTGCTCACCAGCATCTTCATCCTCATTTCCACAGCACTACACTTGCCGTTCCAGGCTTGGCTACCTGGCCACCTCACGCACAAGCCAGAGGAACAGGCAGCTTTGCCCACAGCTCAAGCCTGCCACCAGCCCAAGGGAGACAGGGGCTCAAAGGAAACTCCTGCAGAAGTGCTTGCGTGCCACTGATCAGGCAAGAGAGCACTGATGCCCAGCAGCCAGGAGCACAGCTCCCACCAGCAGCTCCAGCCCAGCAGCCTGGTGAGAGACAAGCACAACAGCAAGCTCTTTCAAGTACCAATTCCTTGGGGACAGACAGCAGATGCACAAAGGCCAGCTCGACACACAAACTGATGGGCAAACATAATATTTTGCAGTGACTCATGGCTGGGAGAGGAGCCGAGCCAGGGTTCATCCCTCCAAACAGCCAGCTTGTGCCGCAGGCGCTGGCTGCTGGCCAGGGAGTCACTGGAGTTCAAAGGCACCAAAACCCACAGCTCCAGGAGGCTGTGCTGGAAGTTGGCAGATTCCGAAGGCAGGCACTGTCTCTGCGCCATGCTTTGTCCTCACTCACTGCAGGCCCCAGCCTGCAAGGCAGCGTTTGCTCAGCCCGGTGGATCAAGGTGCAGCACAGCTTGCAGGGCTGCGTCAGGGCAGACCAAAGTGGCCAGAGGCAGGCCAAGGTCCACTGTGCCTGCTTGTAGCCCCAGCCGTGGACAGGAGTGCAGAGCTCCGCTCAGTCTGGGTCACATTCCTAACTTAGGTGGGCAAAGACCAACCAACTCTTCTCCAAGTTGCCTACAGCTTTGGAACCCGCCTTTCCCTGCCTTACTGGGCTGTACTGGTGCAGGACGAGGTAACAGGAAGGTTAGAAGAGCCTGCAGCAGGAAAGCAAGGCTTTAACTGTGCAAGCAGCAAAAGGAACTGAAACTGCCTGGCTTTACAGAAGAGCCTTCTTGCCTGGAAGCAGCTCTGCTTCCCTCCCCACATATCTACCGATCTGTCTGGTCCTTTCCACTGCACTTCTCTGCTAGCTTTAGGGGCTTTTGGAGAAGCAGCCAGACTACCTGCTTCTGCTCATCACTGTGCTTGACTTCTTATAAATTCAGGCTCTGCTAGGCCCAGGGCCTCAACAAGAGAGCCCCGGGTGAGCAAGGGAACTCCTAATCCAGAAAAAGGTCACTGGCAGTGCCATTGCCTGGCCTGTGCTGAAACTACAGCCCTTTGTGCCCCACTGAGCAAGGAGGCTGAGCACCAGCAAGCTGCCTGGGATCAGCTTGCCACGGAAACACCCACTGGGGCAGCTAATCACCCACCGTGAAGCCTCTTCAGTACCAAAGCAGAGGTGGCAAAGTGTCTCGCTGAGGCCGAAAGGCCACATGATACAGGATGATCGCACAGCAGGCAGTGGGGCAGGCGAGGCACAGGGGCAGGGCTCAGTCTCCTGGAGCCGAGGGGCACTGTGCAAGCAACACACACGTGAACTCCAAGCTGCTCACACTAGCCTTGCCCTGATGCCCTCTCCACCCCCACAAGACAACAGGACTGAGGCCCTTCCACAAGCTCCCATCAGGGCAATCGCTGCCCTTCACATCTGCCCGCTTGTCTGTGACTCATGACTGATGTCCTTCAGTCAGGAGTTCCTTGCTGACCCTTCTCCTCAGCCCTCACCACAATTCTCTTGCTTGGCCATCTGTCAAGCCTGGCAGCAAGAAACCAACCCTCAGGCAAGCGCTTGCAGGGTGCAACCCCTTTCCGTGACCGGGGGCATCTCAAAAGCCTCCTGTACCGAGAATCCAGCAGCCTGAGCAAAACTGCAGCTCAACACAAACAGGCAGCAAATAAACCAGGTCTTTTCCAGGTTCAAATTCATAGCTGCAGCCCACACCCCCAGGGAGGCTAGCATGCCCTGGGCTCAGATCACAGCCTTACCTATCTGGTGTGGGGAGTAGGTGAGGCATCCTGTGGTGAAGATCAAGTATTTTGTCTTGCTGTTGCTGTCCGCGGAGAGCAGGTTCAGCTCAGGCGGTTTAGTTCTGTTACGTACAAACAGCTCAGCCACCTTCGTCTCCAGCTCTGTCTCGGTCATGGCAGGCCGCACACGGCCCTCCATGATATCATCAAAGAACTGCTGCAGCCCGTCCTCTGCTGTCACACCCCCTTCATCTGGCAATTCCTGTACTGCTGGCTCCGGAGTCTGCTTGGGCTTGGCCTCCTCTTCCTCACTGTCACTGCCAAGATCAAAGACTGGGCAGGTGGAAGAAGCAGCTAGCTGCTCCTCGTAGTCCAGGAGCAGGTCCGGGCAATCATACCGGCTGCAGTCAGCCACCATCACGGTCCGGATAGTGCTGGCATTCAGGTTCTGGATTTTGAAGAGTCTCTTCACTACATTCACATTCTCAGACTCTATGCCCTGCAACCAGAAGGAAGAAGTAAGCAGGAACCACCTCATGTCACTCCTACAGCTCAACCCAAGAGCCACCTGCCCAGACCCTGAGCCAGCACAGCGGACACCAGCCACGCACTGGCCTCTCTCTGCACTGCTACACAGAGTGCCAACCGTGAGAACTGGCCCAAGCTGCCGGCCAGATTTGTGGCACTCCGTCCTATCTTGGAGGTAGGCACACCAAGACAAAAATCTCCTGCAGGCAGACAACAGCAGAGCTGAGAAACACAGAGGCTGGGCAGCCTTGCTGCCACCCCCTGCCCGAGGTCATTAGCTGGTGCTGCTCAGTGCTTTACGAGCACTTCAGGAACAGGCCTCCGAGATAGACGTAGGTGCAGTGACGAGTGCCGTGCCCCTGGCCTACAAGCAGCAGAGGCAGACGACCTCCATGCTCCCTGGAGTTCGTCTGTACCCCTCAGCAGGACCAGCCTGCTTATCTGCTCCCAGGCACAAACAGCGGGACCCGTCCTGCCTCACTGCTCTGACAGTCTGCGGCCGCGCTTCAACACCCCCTGTCAAAGCAGGCAAGGTCCTTCCTCGCCTCTTGGAGAAGGAGGAGTTAATGCTGTAGTGTCAGCGCAGCACAGAGATGTGGTTATGGGAAGGGTCTCTGCCACCAAAGGATTTCACTCAGGGCCAACATCGGTTGTTCATGTTATAAACCACAAAACACCAGGATGTGCAGCTGTGACGTTGAGACAGAGGCAAAACACGGAGAGGAACATGTCTGAGCAAGGAACAAGCAGAAAACAAGCAATCTAAGGCCAGCACGTGCTGATCTTCCGGTCTCATCACAGCGTAAGAGACAGTACCTGGCCCACAGAGGCATCAGCAAGGACAGGCGGCGCTGAGCTCAGCCTCTCAGCTGCCTCCAGCTCCCGGGAACAGCGCACTGAGCTGCCAAGTGGGAGAATGGCCACTGCTCGGACACATGCCAGACTATAGCCATCCCAGGCCCAGCTTCACACTATCATAGTCCTCAGCAACCCCGCTGCTCTTCAGCCACTCTCCTGTTGAGCAACACACGCTCTAGGGCACTGCAGTCAAGTCCTTGTCCCAGTTAATGGGGCAAGAGTTAATGGAAGCTGAGGGTAGAGTTGGAATATTGCAATGGGTACCACAAAACCGAGCATGGAGAAACCTCATGCAAGGGTTGCCTCAGGCTCAAGATCCTGAGGATAAGTCAGAGGAGACAAACAAGGAGGACAGGAGGACTGGGCCATTCTTCCCCACTCACACCTCCTCCACAGCTCTTCCTCCCCAGGAGCCAGCAGGAAGCTGCACTGCCTGTGGAGCTGGAACAGAGGCACCTCACCTGGAAAGCATTGTTCAGCCACAGCACAGAACAGGAGGTTATACGCCCAATCCGATGCAGATTGCCAGATATCAAGTTGGTTTCATTCAGCCAGCAGCCAAACACATCATAGGGTTTATTCCTCACCCTGGAAAGCAGTGTGAAGTTCTCTAGAAGGGAGGGGAAACACCAACATGAGGTGATGGCTCCTGGCAAGGGCTTTGGAGAAACCGAGGCAGACGACATAGAAGCGGACTCAAGTCTCCGCAGGAGAGCATGGATGCAGCACCTCCACCACAAGCTGAGCGGACACTGCCCAACCACTGTCGAGCTCCCAGTCACTGCTATGGAGATAGATTATTTCTCTCTTCTACAGAGATATGTGGGGAGAGCATGCACAAGGGAAACCAAAATAAAAGGGCAGCCAGATGGAGCCAAACCAGAGAGCAATCTAACCTCACGGCCTTTCTCCGAGCGTGGCCCAAAGCAGACACCCCGAGGACAAGAACAAGTCAAACTCGTACAGAACCCCTTCACTCCCGCCCCTGGGGCTCAGGGCCTTTCTGAGCAAGACAGCTGTGCACTTAGCAGCGCTCCTCGATTTCTGGCACAGTGGGACTGTAGCACAGAGAGGGCGAGAGATAATTTAGCTGGGACTACAAGTTTCACAGAAATGCAGCAGAAGGGGTGAAGCAGACCCGGATGATCATGTCTCAGAAAGCCACATGGGACCTCAGGGTGGGACTAGCACCACTTGAGTCAGAAATGGCGGCTGCAAGACAACAGGTAACGAGAGTAACTCTTGCCTTGCCCAGACCATCACTCAGAACGGCAGTTAAGCGAGAATAAATATATGCCTCGCTGCCTTTAGGTGATGACACAGTGACCCGAGCAGAGTTAAGACTATCCAGACAGTTTACCCTATGCAACTGTGACGCCTTCACACAGGTGGTAGAAGGCAGGACAAGCAGAGGTCAAGGCCACCACACACCCAAAGAGGGAGGGAAGCCCAGCACCCACCATTCCACACCTCCCAGGAAGCCCCAGCACAGGCAAGGGCGGTATTTACCCATGCTGATTACAGCAATCTCTCCTGAGGAGGAGTTGTGAGGCCCCACAAAGACACCTGACACCAGAAGGAGGGAGTCATCAGAGTTGAACTGGGAGAACTGTGTGTAGCTCCAGTTGTATGGCCTCATGTTGGAGCTGTGCTGCAGGGAGATGTCCAACTCATTGCTCCAGATCTATAGACAGATGGACAGACAGTCAGAAAGCTGTTGAGGAGCCCAAGAGTGGTTCCACTTTATCTGTTCTGCCAGCACTCACTAGGACAGGAAAAAAAACCCAAACATTGAAGACCCTCCCAGCCCTGATTTCCCTGTCAATTCCCCTGACAGAAAAAGGCCAACAGCTTTGGAGAGCAGTTACATGCAGGACTGCTGCTCCATCAGCCAGTGGAGAAGGTGTTTAGGCACTGAATAGTACTGTCACAGCTGGATTTTTCAGCATGTTCAGAGAGATTTCTCCCAGGAAAACCACTCAGGCAAGACAACTGCTGCCGTGGATCATTATCTCCCCAGTCTTTGTTAGACCCATGGCACAAAAGGACTGATTTGCATCTAGAAAGCAGCCAGAGCCAGGAAGGCACCTCAGCCACTTTCATGAAGGCTGGACCTGGAACCCACAGCCCTCAAGGCCACATTTGCAAGAGTCATTGGTTCTGTGGCTTTGAGAACAACTCAGCATCTGCAGGAACCAGCCTAAGTGTCCAGGGACAGCTGGCCAAACCTCTCCTCTCCACAGACTTCCTAAAGGCTGCTCTCATGGCTAAGTCCCACCAGATCAAAGCTGGGAGGGTTGTGCAGGGGAGGCTGCCACTTTACCTTGACCGTACAGTCTTTGGAGCACGATGCAAACAAATAGCCAGAGTGGGAGAAGCTGAGGTGCAAAACCTGGTCACTGTGCTCCTTCAGGGCCTGCACTTCCACACAGGGGATGGTGTCATAGAGCCTCTGGAACTCATCATACCAGGAGACGGCAGCTGTAACGTAAGCAGGGACAGGAATGTGAGTGGAGGGAAGCAACAGACCTGAGCGAAACATGGCAGCCGCAGGATCAGTCCTTAAAAAAGTGCAGTCTTGACTGCTGCTAGCAACACCGGGAGCTTGCTGGGGCCAACACCCCTGTGGCTTCAGCCAAGTTAGCAGGGGTTTTCTCAGTAGCTTCCCCACTCCCACAAAAAAAATCTTTTCTTCCAGTAAACACACAACTCCACACTGTACCACTACTTTCTAAACCAGTATAGCCACTGCAAGAAGCATCCAGGGCACAGCCATTCGCTATCTAACAAAAGCCTTGCTCAGGACAAAACAGCCACCAGAACTGCAGACGTGCTCCAGCACAAGGCAAACAAATCTATCATGTGATGAGAGGGAAGCTGCTCCTCAGGGTACTGGGCTCTGCTCCGATTATCTTTATCTTGTCTAACACAGAATTAAGAAGGTTCCAGAACAGGTACAAGACCAGGAAAAAAACGTCTCCATGAGATAAGAGACTAGAGAAAACAAGAGAGAACGGGAGCTGGATGCAGCGTGGCAGGACAGAGGAGGGGCCCTGCAGAAGTCACACTGACAGCCAGTGAAGAGACAAATAAAGAGGATTTTTAACGAAGTGCCTGGTAAGGCAGCCTACAGACTTCTTGCAGCAGCAAATCCCAAGGAAGCAAAGAGGCTTAGACACATCTATGGATAAGGGCCAAGTTCCCTAGTTACACTGAACAGGGGTGAAGGTTTTTTCAGGACTCGCTGCAGCCCAGGCAGCACCCACTCCTGCAGGCACTCCCCACTAGGCAGGGGGCTTCACGCCCTCTGAAGATCCCCGTTCCGGCCCACCCAGCTGGGAAGCAGTCTGGACAGATCCCACCTGGCCAAGCAATCCCAACATTTCCTCTTCCAGACCCACTGGATAGCATTCCCCAAACCACAGAGCTGCCCAGGGATTCCCCAAACTCCTGCTTCAGCCCCTTCCTGGGCCTGCCAGCCACCCCAACCCACTGCCTCACAGCTCCAGAAGCACAGCCTGGGAGGTGCACGGATACGTTACTGAGTTACACCGACAGCTCAGTCCTGATCTGTGATAAAGAACAGGGCTGGCAGCTTCCTAACTGCAGGAGGCTGGAAGTGAAGGAGCCCTGGTCAAAGAGCCTCAGGTAAAACCTAAAGATAATGTCCTCAACCCCATGGAGCTCCCAGGGTCTGCGCAAGTGAAATCACGCAGCCCGAGTCATCCCATCCACATCTCATCTCAGAGCCCTTTCGCATGGTGTTCCCCACCGCAGGGAGACTAGCTCCTGCTGCTTGGTCCTCAGTGTTTCTTCCTACTCTTCTGTAGTGACTGCAGCTCAAGCTCAAGAAGCCAATTCCCTCTGCGATGGCTGTCACTGGCAGCATCGTGCACATCCTCAGGGCAGAGGATGGCGCACAGCCCTCCTGGGCAGCAGCAGCATGCTGGGACAGGCTTTTCAGGATCCCAGAGAGACCCACCTTGGCAGCGAGGGCTCCAGTCAGCAGGTCCCCACAGACTGCCTCTCAGCTGGTGCAACAATGTTGAGTTTCAGACCACACCAAACTGCTGCCAGCACCTGATGCTCAGCAGGGAACAGGCCCGTGATGATATGGCTGCTGCCACTGAGATTGCCGAAAGCTCTACCCCAGGAAGGCCCTGCTGGGCTCAGTTGATGCCGACTGTTAATGGGTCATTTTCCTATTGCAAGCCAAGGCCAAGATCAAGTCCAACCTGCCTTTGCAAAGTGGGTCAGCTACTGCCTTAGCATTTGCCCACTGTACAAGTAAATTGCCGCACACCCACCTCCCCCTCCAGACAACGGGCACACACGTTCTCTCTTTCCACAGCCAGGCCGCCGCCTACGTCTTATGGAAATAGTTTGATCTGCTAATGTGCACTTGCAGCTCTTCCTACTCTGGACAAGAAAGGGACAGGGCCTGAAGCAGAGGCTTGCTGTGAGGTCCCAATCAGGAAAAGCCAGCAGTGTTTACCATGGAATCCCAGTGGGCTGTGATGCAGCAGTGTACAGTGACTCACCGCGTCTCCTCGGGATCTCCCTCAGCAGCAGCAGCGCCCAGACAAGCTGTGCTGTAGCTACCAGAGGGCACCTGCCTAGAGAGAGCCCAGAAACCACCTTCCTGTGAAAGAAAGGGCAAGTAGAAGCATTTTCAACCACTCAACACCCCTTTCTGAAGGGTTCGGGCAGCTCCAGAGCCCTTCACGTGCACATCACCACCCAAGCCTGCAGACTGCTAATGTGAGACAGTGCAGGGGCTCCATCACCCTCGACACCAGAGGACAGAGGGCTTAGCAGCAGAGGGGAAGAGGGTTCTCTCTTCTGGGCTGACGGCAGGCAGGTTCTGGGTGCCGCCACCCGAGGCCCCAGGGCTGAGCAGCCCCCCGGCCCGGCGGGGC